TGAATTATTTTTTTAAAAAAAGTTAAAAAGATCAGATGTAAATATAATATTAAAATTTGATAAAACTTGATATCGAGTAGTCTGGTCTAGATGTTCATCAGTTGTCCATTCCCTGGGGAAAATATTGTCTGATTTGGGGGGAACTTCTGCCATAACTGCAAGTGGGTCTGATCTTTGCAAGTTTTGTTTCCCATTCTCTCTTGCCAGGGTAGACAATTAAAAATGTGACAGGAATTGAAGAAATAAAAGGGGTATTTTCCACCCTCCTGCTTAGCCTTATGTTTGATCTCCTTCATGACACTAGTTAGTGCTGTGCTTAACCACTGTCACACCAGTTTCTTCTGTGACTGTAGCTTCTAGGCTCTGATAACTCCATCTCCTCCCATTACTGTTGCTAATATCTAGGTTACCTCAAAATTTTCTAGTTATTTTCCAGTTTCTCCATCACTTCTGTAACCAGTTCCCTGTATTGCATTTTCTTTGTTATGAATGTATTTTATGAGGATTTATTGGACATCCTTTCTGTTTTCCTAGAAAGACCCCGAGAAACAAGTACAGTTATGACTTATATTTTATTCAGTATCCATGTTTATATTGTCAATATTTTACCTTACGCAAAAATTTTAGATTTAATATTAGCCATTCATTGAACACAATTTATACCTAACTATTAATGAGCCGTAATTATGATTCATTAGACGTTGAGAGGATGTAGTAACAATTAATGGATGATATTGTTAAATTGAATAATATCTCATGGACTGCCAAAAGAACAAATAAATCTATCTTGGGACCAGGATGCTGCTTAGAAGAATGATGAAACCTCATCTCACGTACTTTGGGCATATTGTCAAAAATCCTTAGAAAAAGACCTCATGCTGGGAAAATTGAGGACTGGCAAAAGAGAGCATGCCCCAGCGGGATGGATTGACATAGTTAGCGTAGCATGACAGAGATTGTAAAGATGGTACAGGATAGAGCAAGGCTTTGATCTGTTGCTCATGCGTCATAATTTGCTCCACAGCATGTAGCAATAACAACGGCATTGTTATATTAATTTCTCTGAAGTTAGGTATGATTGACGAGATTATGTAAATGTTTCAGTAAAGAATGTTTGTTCTCCAAAAATTACAATCTACTTCCCTCTTCTATTTTCCTGCCTCCATTCCCATTAGGAATTCAGAGCCTCTGAACTGCTTCAAAGTGGACTGGACAGATCTAAATACCTTTTGGTGAAAGAAGCCAAAATCATTGCTATGACCTGTACTCATGCTGCCTTAAAACGACATGACTTGGTCAAGTTAGGTTTCAAGGTAGTTACCTCTTCTCAGTTCCTTATTTATCATCTGTTCATGGTAGTTTTTTATTTCTCTAGTTTTTTTCTCTTGTTTTTGTTACCAGTACCATTTCCCTTAAGAACTGTCTCACCTATTACTGAAGGTCACATTTACAATAATTAAAAATTTCTGTCTTGAAAGTAGATTAAAGTTTCACATGTTTATATAGTTATGGGGCTCTAATTTACTTACAGATACTATAATAACCTGGTAGTCGAACCAAAACCTTGTAGTTGTTAAGGTAGATTAACCAGTTTAAAAAGCTCTTTAGACAGAAGTGTGAACTATGAAACAGCATTTGGTTATGGTTCCCATGTATTACACATCTTTATGCTCACACTATTTACCTATTAAGTATACATCCTTTCTGCGGTTATTTGGTCTTGGAATAAATGATATGTCTCCATATAAGGACATGGAATACTTTTATATGGAGGAATTAAAATTCATCATCTAATTAAGACAGGAGGTAAGTTATTTGAACCTGTGACTCAACTGAAATGGAATGTAATGATAGAGCAGTAAACTAGAATTTTCAAACTATAATGCTGCTAATAATACTAGCTTGAACTCTAATTACCATGCAGCTCGTTTAACTTCTCTGCAACTAATTTAGCTGTTGTTTAAAATTAGTGTTTGTGTACTGGTTTAAATTGAAAGTGAGGAAAACATTTGTTGTTGATGAAAGTAACTGACAAGTTGAAAATAATATGAGCTCACTGGAAAAAAAGGTGTTAAATAAATTCAGGGTGATGGAATTGTTGTTATCTTGGTTGAAAGGTTCTTCAGCTGTAAGGTAGGACACATAATGATAATTTATTAAGAGGTTGTGTGAACTTACTCTGGTGGTGTGAATTTACTATCCTGTTGCAGATTATTAGTGAGAATTTTTCACCTAAGTGTTTTGTTCTTCCTGACATATAAAGTATGCCTTCATTTTGTTATTAAATCATAACCATTTAATAACAAAAAAAATGACACAGTCATAGTTAGCATTCTGTATTTGCATTTTCTGCAGCCTTTCGAACATGCTTTAAAGACATAACTTATCACAGACTAGCATGAACCACTTTTTACACTTACATCATTCTGTGTATTTAAAGGTAGCCAGCATAAGTGGTGATAGTATCCCTTGTTATGTGCTTTTCAATCAAAACTGACCCGAAGTTGACCCTCTAGCTGGCTTTCAGAGGCTGTGAATAGGCGGATTGCCTATCTTTCTTCTGTGTTTTTGAACTGCCTGCCTTTGGGTTGGATGCACACTTTATCTCTAGGCCACTAGAGCTTCTGGATAATATCTCTTAAGATCTCCATAGTTTTCATTTTGATATTTTCTTTCTATCCATCTAGTTTAAAAGTTGCAAAACAAATTTAGCTACCAAAACTTGATAAAGGTAGATACATTTTGGATAAATTAATAATACAGAAATTATTGAATATGTAAACAATTCTATAAAAAGAGAAATGTTATCAAGCATTAATGATAAGTATGCTACTTTTACTTTATGCCTCAGGAGAAAAGAAAAAAATTAAGAGTTCCTAACATTGCCAGGAACTGGGCTACACAATGTAGATTAGTGGGAGGATACAGGAATTAAGTAAGCAGAAATCCAGATTGTGATGTGCTGTGAAACAAACTAACAGCACTGTGAGATAAATGTTCGATTTGGAGGTTAGACAATGCCCTATAAAGTATATTTTAAGGCTATAAGAGACCTAAACAGAGCAATATTGAGAAAATTTAGCATGTGTAAAAGGATCCAATGCAAGAATGGTTTTGTGAAATGGAATAGATCACTTGGAAAAAAGTGCAACCAGGATGCTCCTTAGAGGGAAGAGCGGCTGAAGCTTATTGAATAAAAGAAAGACGACAGATCGGAAGGAGAGGAAAGCAGGGGCTAGTTTCTCTAGAACCATGGAGGTCATAATAAAGGAATTTCCCTCTTCGACATTGAGAAGCTAATGAAAGAGTTTGAAATCTGGAGGTAATCTATCACTGCTATGTCAGTAGTTTTGAGGAGGCAAGTTAGGAAGGGAGGGGAAAGTAGTTTGTGTCAGAAGAGTAGGAGCTGAGACTAGAGTGGAAGTGGTGGTAGAAATAAGAAACATGAATTGACTGGATATCATTTCAGAGGTAAAACACACCCATTGTGGTGGGATGAGATGAAATAGATTGTGGAGAGATAATAGAATTCATTGAGGGGGTGGGAATTAACCTGAAAATACCAGTTTAGAATAAGAGTCCCTGTGGCACTGGCTGTCAAACAATTATAAATTGATTCTTGCTTATACTGAACTAGAAGAATTGATAGTGCAGTCTTAAGGAACGATGTATATAAGTGCTTCCTTGAGGTTAAAGACTTGAATTGGTAAAGCAGGGTGTGGTGATAAATAAGACTAACATTTTCTGTTTGAGTAACTTGTGTGTTTTCTTACTTATTTTTTGAATGGTGGTTATTATTTGGCTTTTAAGCTGCTTTTTATTAATTCATTTTCCTTTCTTTTCTCAGTATGACAACATTTTAATGGAGGAGGCAGCTCAGATTCTAGAGATAGAAACTTTCATACCTCTTCTTCTACAGGTAAAAAATTAAGATCTGAGTCAGAGGGAAAATAAGTTTTAAAGAATTATCAAACATCATCAGAACACTGCAAAGTTTGGGGATGATGATTCCCACAATTATGAATTAGCCTGAGTGTCATCGGTATTCTGTTTTAAGCCTATAAAATTCCTTTAATGTGCTCACTGGTTATTTAGTAATTTGAATTGTGTCCAGCAGTATTATTTAAAATTTCATAATTAATCTCTATAAAGTGATTTTTAAAAATGTTTATCATTGTAAATTAGTAAATTACATTTTTAAGCACTTTAGAAGGAAGCTTTTTCCTTTGTTAAAATGGTTTCTAGATTTGTTTCTGATATACACTGATTGCATTGCTTTTGCTAAATAATAGGAAATTAAAGTAGCTATGTAGGAATTTAAGAAAATAAGTTTTAATTCTTTGAGAAATTCCAGAACTGGTCATTGGCATAATTTTGACACAGAATGCTAGACACTTGTTTATTTACTTTTTTGAACATTCTCTTTCCCTGTGATTGCTTGCCTAATGCTAACCCTCAGCCTTTCCAGACTGTTTTGGATTACTCCACTTGTTAAAGTAGGATAGTTTCATGCTTACCTGCTTGATCCCTACATAAAGCCCTGTCCACCGTCAACCAGGAAGTGTGATGCATATACTGTATTAACAAACCATTCTATGGATATACCAGATTACTTTGTATGAAGCTGATGAATACAAAAAGTTTGTAAATGGATATAATTCGAAAACTAATAGGATAATAAAATTTGACTGTTTTGCCGTTTCTTCACTTTTCATTTCTAGAATCCTCAGGATGGATTTAGTCGACTGAAACGATGGATTATGATTGGGGATCATCATCAGTTACCTCCAGTCATTAAGAACATGGCTTTTCAGAAATACTCGAACATGGAACAGTCTCTCTTTACTCGTTTTGTTCGTGTTGGGGTTCCTACTGTGGACCTAGATGCCCAAGGGAGAGCCAGAGCAAGGTAAAGGAGACAAAGGAAATGTGAACCTGTCTTATTTTATAAACATTGTTATTAAAGCTCTTAGCAGTCCCTGCTATTCGGGAATTTAATCTAAAAACCTCAGAGTACCTTTTGTTTTTTTTCATGAGGTGTACGTGGACCAAATTAACTGTTTCCTTTCTTGCATTCATAAAGATTTCTTTTCGCGGCCTGTTCAGCTTTATTGATGTTTATTAAGTTTTATACAGTTGTTATCGTTTTGATGTCTAAAGCACAGTTTAACAGGAGAAAAGCACATTAGTTCTTACAGTGGACAGGCTCTATCTTGTAACTACCCTAAAGTTTTTCTCAGTTTATGGTCTTTTCCTTATTTTGTTTTTTCCCCATTACAACACATCTTTTGATCTCTTAACTGTCTTCACTTTTGTTGTTGGTTGTCAATCTTATTGTTGTGTACTGTTGACTCCGAACTGACCCATAGCTGACCCTCTGGCAGGTTTTCAGAGGCAGTTAATCGCGTGGGAGGAGATGGCCCAACCTTCTCCCGCAGAGCAGATGGGAGATTTAAACCATGTGTCTTTGAGATTGCAGTGTAGCTTTTTGCCACTAGGCCACTAGAGTTCCTTATTCTTTTTTTAAGGTGTAGTGATAGCATTTATATCAGAGAACACTGGAGCTGTCCTTTTTTTTGAATATTTTCACTCTTTGGGCATTTAGTTACTTGATAGAGGGTGGCAAAGTTTGAAAAAGTAAGCAAAAAAATGGGTAATATGGGCATTAAAAGGAAGCATAGTTTCTTTGAAACTTTATGTATGTATTAAGAGAAATTTGGCTAATCTTGTTTTTGTGGGTGGTTTGTTTTTGGAAAGCTTGTGCAACCTCTACAACTGGCGATACAAGAATCTCGGAAACCTGCCTCATGTGCAGCTTTTGCCAGAGTTTAGCACAGCAAATGCTGGATTGCTCTATGACTTCCAGCTCATCAATGTGGAAGATTTCCAGGGAGTTGGAGAATCTGAACCTAATCCATACTTTTATCAGGTAAGAAAAAAACATGATGCTATGAACTTTATTTTATATCTAGTTGCCTGATTTATTGTCTTAAGTCAGCCATAGCAAACTGTTTCAAATTAGGTTTCACTCACACACACACAACACAGAAAAAATTAATTTCAGGTGGATTAAATGTATATAAATAAAAGGGAAAAAACCTATAAACATACTGGAAACTATTATAAAAATTATAGAAGAATATTTAATGCAGGGATGAGAAAGGTCTTCCTACACATGTGGCCAAAAAGTAGAAATCATAAAAATATATTCCTTATTTGAGAACAGAATTTATTGTCAACATGTAACAAATGTAATTGAATTCAGAATACTTATCGCTATGTTGTTGTTGATTGCCTTCAGGTTGAGCACAACTCATAGTGACCCTATGAACAAAAGGCTGTTGAAACCCCTCTACAGCTATCAACACTTATCAAAGTTCATAGAGTTTCTGGAGACAAGTTGTTTAGGAAGTGGATGCCACTCCTGCTTCCAGACCTGTTCTAGAATGTTATTGATTGAGTCGCCTGCGATGCATAGCGACCCTGTGTACGGCAGCTCTGAATCTTTCTCTGTCCTGAGCCAGTCTCACTAATTCTGCCACACCAACCCCCCTTGCCCCAGTTACTGTATCAGTCCTTCTCATCTTGGGTCTCCCTCTCAGGCACTGTCTGTCCACCCTTCTGAGCATGATGCCCTTTATTAAGGACCAATCTCTCCTGGCCACTTATCCATATAACACTTAAAAATCACTATTTAAAAAAGTCTACACTTACAAGAGAAAAATGTGATAAGAACTAGACTATATAATTCATAAAGCAAAGGTTAATAATGTTCAACAGTAGTTAGGGTAGATTTGGGAAAGTTCTGCTTATGCAGTGCTAGTGGACAAGTAATTTAGTTTACGAATTTGTCAGTGTGATGTTAGCCTAAGGTTAGCTTTTTTTCGCTAATACTTTATCCCCTTATCTGCATCTACTGTAACTTCACATACATGATCTTGCAAATCATCAACAGGTGTGGTACTAGGATAAGAAAGAGAGTACTTCCCACACTGAGGAGCAAGACCCCTGGTGATGGTGGTGGAGAGACTGTGGCTTTACTGTGGAGAAACTTTAGCAAGGTGTAGCCTGAGATAAAGGCCACAGTTAAAGATTTCATTGCTTATAAACTGCTCTGAGGCAAACCTTGCAGGATGATTGAGGAAACCAGAGGGTTCTTGAATTTGTGATTCAGTTGGGATACTTCTTAAAAAAACCAACCCAAAACCAAATCAAAAAACTTCCCCCCATTTTTGTTCGTATTCTTGCTCTTCTTGATGGCAGCCTCTTCAGGTCCCCTGCTGACTGGCTCAGCCTTGAAGAGCTCCTTTTCCTTTGGGAGACTGAGTAGCTTCTTCAGGATCCTCTGCTTTGGGGGGAAGATTTCTTCCTCTTGGGGACACCTGGCCTTCGAGTTGTCTCTTCAGAATCACTAACCATCTTCTTAGAAAGAGATTCTTTTTCTTGGGCTTAGGGATTACTGAGCTAGACAGAGCATTCTGTTTTTGTAGGGCTCCTGGGGCTTTTTCTTTATCTTCGTTTTGAGCTTCTCACTTGTCTTCTCACAGTCCTGATCCTCAGGAGTACGGTTGAACTAAGTGCCGTTGCAGCCAGTTGTTTATTTTTCTTTTCCTTCCTTACGTGCTGTTGCTTCTGTTTCTTAGTAATCTCAGTTGCCAGTTTTTGGCCTAAGACATAACTTCTTACATGACATCCAAATTTTTTCATGGAGTCTCTCCAGTCTCATAGAAGGATAGTTGCTCCTCAACTTGCTTTTGAAGCTTTTCCGCAAATGCACACCTCTGGGATGTAGGTACCTGTGGGTGTATGTGGAGGTCCCAAGAAGTAGTCCATTTGTGAGACGTTTGTTTGCCACCTGTCAGGAGAAGCATGCTTTGTTCTTGGCAGCTGGTTGGCCAGTGAAGTTAGAGTGGAAAATGAGTTCATATTAGTGAGTGTTTCCCCTTACCTGGAAGCTTTGTTACTTTGATGGGCACTGGGAATCACTCAGACACCGGAATTGTCTCTCATCCTATGGAGACAAAATTAGAACAGCCCAGGAAATATCACAGAAGATAGAATGAATACAGACAGAATCATTAAACCAAAAAGGATTGATTGATATACAGTCATTTCAGGAGGTAACATAAGGTCAAGAACCAGTGGTATTGAAGGAAGAACTTAAAGTTCCACTGTATGCATTGGCAAAAAATATTTCTCTAGAAATTGACAGAATACCCCTTGAGTTAGTTCAGTAATGATGGTTCAGTCAGTGCTTCACGCACTCACTTATCTCTACCTGAGAAGCTGACTAGAAATGATCCGTATTTCTGCCCATTCCAAAGAAAGGTGATACAATGTGGAAATGATCAAAAAAGGTCACTAATATTACTTGCAATAAAGGTTGGCTGAAAAGAATTTCAAACAATGGCAGCAGTAAATCTATAGGAAACTGTCAGGAAGTCACACCAGATTGAGAGGAGAAAGGATATTATCATACCCAATGCTTTTGACTGAAAGCAGTGAATACCAGAAAGATTACTTAGTTTTGATTTCGTGACTGTGCTGTAAGTAAGGAGCTCTGTTGACATACAGCATTACATGTTGCCCTGCTAACTGGAAGGATCAGGAGCAGTCTCCTCCAAATAAGGTGAAAAGTCTTAGAATTGCTATGAGTCAGAATCAGCCTGATGTCAGTAGGTTTTTTTGACTGCAGAGGCATTTAGCTATATGGATCATAACAAACTGTAGACAGCATTGTGAAAAATGGGAATTCCAGAGTACTCAGTTGTGTTCTATAGAATCTGGACTAAGAGGCAGCTGTTTAAACATAACTAGAAGACATTCTGGTTTAAAGTCAGGAAAGATCCGTTTTGACTTCTTACCTCAATCTGTATGCTTTGTTGACTCTTTCCTTTAACCTCTGGGAGAGTTTGAACCAGTAGCCTTTTGATCAGCAGTCATGCTATACCATTTGTGCCATCAGGGCTCCCAAGAGCAAAAGAACTTAAGTGAGAGAAAGAACTCAAGCTGTTTGAATCAAGAATAAGTTGTTGAATAAGTCTTTTTCTGGAATTCTTGCTGTAATTTTCTTAATGCATTTACAGGAAACCCATCTTTGTGTCTTTTTTTTTTTTTAACATGTTTTTACTTACATCTGAATTTCTTTTGTCATCTAGTCCTTTGAATTTTCTCCTGAACTAATCTAAATAGCCTTATGCATGACTCCTCTCTTTTATGTCCAGTCAAGCCATTCATTTTAAGCTTCTTCCAGTCGCCCCTTAACCATAATCTCCTAACAGCAGTAAGCCAGGCTGGCCAGTTTGAGACTAGGTATACTAGGAGATACTGCAATCATCAGGAAAAGATTATGAACGAAAAAGCACCAAGAACAGTAAGGAAGAAGGAAGACCATTGTAGACTGTAGCAGAATTTTATTAATCTTTTTTGTGGTTGCTATGGTCCCAAGATTATTCGGCTTTGAAGTTAGTATCTTATTTTAACTACATTGCAATTTTCAAAGTAAAATAATTACCATAAACTGTATTTGAGACATTGGAAAGACTGATGGTGCACTGGTTGGTGCTCAGCCACTAACTAGGAGGTCTTTGCTTCATATCCACCAGTGATAGCACAGTAAAGGGTGTGTCATACATACCACATTACCAAAACTTTACAGTTTCGAAAATCATTTATGGTAGTTCTCCTCTGTCCTGTTGTTAAAGTGCCATCAAATTGACTACAAGTAATAGTGACCCTGTGAACAACAGATCCGAATCTTCCCCTTCTTGTGTTGTTCTCTGTCACTGTGTCAGTCCATCTCATTGATAGCCTCTCTTTCACTGACCTTCTGCCTTTCCCAACATTGATCTCTCTCTCCAAAGACTGTTTCCTCCTGAAAATAAGCCCAAAATAAATGAGACAAAGTTTTTACCATCCTTGCCTCCAAGGAGTACTCTGATTGGACTTCTTTCAAGACAGATTTTTTTTTTTGGCAGTCCATGGTATGTGCAGGACTCTTGACCAGCCATAAATAAAGCCATAATTCAAAGGCATTAATTCTTCTTTTGTTATCTTTATAAATTGCCTAACTTTCACATTGTCCGACTTTTCACTTTATCCTGTCTTTAAGTTGGTAATGATTTGACAGCCGTTGATTTGATCACATTCTATTTATTTCTGTTACATTAGGATACATTTATACTTCAGTTTAATAAAGGATTATTTTCTTGCCCAAATTAAGCTTTACTTCTTGTGATATCCTAAGTGATGAAATTGCTTGATAAACCAATAGCTTTGTAAAATTTAAAGCAATATAAAACACACACTTGATTATGTTTGCATTACAGAATCTTGGAGAAGCAGAATATGTAGTGGCACTTTTTATGTACATGTGTCTACTTGGTTATCCTGCTGATAAGATCAGTATTCTGACGACATATAATGGGCAAAAACATCTTATTCGTGATATCATCAACAGACGATGTGGGAGCAATCCACTGATTGGAAGACCAAATAAGGTAATAGAATGAGTACAGTATATTCTCTTCTTTATCATATTATCAAGGTGGATAGACTTATGTAAATATTGAGTCATTTCTCTTGTTCCACTTTGTCTCTTTGCTAGCTCTCTTTCAAGTTATATAAGTGAAAATGAAATAATTCTGAGGAAATCCTGTCAGTTTTGATTTTTCTGTAAACCTCTATTTGAACTACTACATTGAAGATTTTTGTTGTTAGTAATAATAAATTGATCTAAAACTTTTGGTTGGTAAAGTGATGGATGATGAAATTACATTATAGTTTATATACTATTATAGAAACATAAACTGAGGCATGTTGTGTTTTGCAAAGGTATAATTTCTACTGATTTTTATTATATGTGGCAGTGTGTTCTTTCTTGAGAAAGGAAGGTTGTAAAATACATTGAACTTTGCTGTTGTTGTCTGTTGTAGAGTCAGATCCATAGCTGACCCTCCAGCAGGTTTTCAGAGGCAGTTAATTCCTCAGGAGGAGATTGCCAAGCCTAGAATTTTAATACTTTTTTGGATACAGTACAGTGGATTAACATAAAATAAAAAGGTGCTTGATACTGTTAATATAGGATTGACTAAATTAGATAAAATAATAAAAGCATATGTGTTGTTGTGTACCATTTTGTCGGAACTGACTCATAGCAGACGTTCCAGTGAGTTTTCAGAGGCAGTGAATTTGCACAGGAAGAGATTGTCCCTCTTTCTCCCGCAGAGAAGCTGGAGGATTTGAAGCATGTGCCTTTTGGTTGGTAATGTGATTCCTTGCCACTATGCCACCAGAGCTTCATAGGTAGTATTAATAATAAAACTAGCACTTTGTGTATCTGTTTATTTAAATTAGCTTTTACTTTTTCTTGAAAATCATCCAAAAGCAACAATGGGAAATGAGAAGAGGAGGGCACAGACTTCATTTTTAGTGAGATGCCCAGATCAGGTCGCTAAAGTTAGGCAGACAATGTGGGGGAGAAAATAAAGAGACTAGTCTTGAAAACGGATGAGGAAGAGAACAGTTTAAAAGTAATATATTATAAGGTGTTATGATTATCATAAGAGTCCGGAATGAAGGTTGCAGAGTGAAGTTTATTCGGGGGGAGGGGGGGTTGGGGTTGTATACCAATGAAAGAATTTTTCTTTTACTTTTCGAAGAGAAGAGTGAACTGGGGGGTGGGGGGTGGAGGGAGAGCGGAGAGAAAAGTGAAATAGTGAATGAATGGAAATCCAGAATCTGCAAATGTTCATTAAAATTAATAATAAAAAAAATTTTAAGAAAAAGGCCTAAAAGCGCAAACAAAAAAAAAATGAAAATGAGAGATAAAGGAGTGCTAACATGGAAATTTTGAAACCTTCCTGAAATTCCTTTTGTTTTCAATCCCTACAAAAAAGTACTATGAAGATTAATTAACTTTTTTTGGCATAGAAGTAGTATAGATGATTCCTATTACTGTTGTGTGCTGCTAAGTAAAATGTCAGAACTGACTCATAACTGACTCTCTAATAGGTTTTCAGAGGCTGTAAATTGCACAAGAGGAGATTGCTCATCTTTCTCCCATGAAGCAGCTGGTGGATTTGAACCACCTGCCTTTGGCAGTACAACTCCTTACAACCAAGTCACCAGAGCTCCGTAATGAGTTCTAGAGATATGTGACTGAGATAGTTCACTCAGCCATTATGTCCTCCAGGGTCTCCCATGTTGTGTAATGTTTTACAGGTTCATTGTTTTTCGGTGCTGTGTAGTATTCCATTGTGTGAATTTTCCAATCCCACAAGCAGTGAATAAGGCCTCCAGTTTCTTCACAAGCTCATCAGCATTTTGCTGCTCTGTTGAACTTTGCTGTTGTTATTGGGATGAAATAATATCTCATAGTTGTTTTTATCTCTAAAGATTTTTAATTGTGTTTTTTTAAAATAAACCACAGTTTCTTTTCTTCTTCTTCCTAGGTGACAACTGTTGACAGATTCCAGGGTCAGCAGAATGATTATATTCTTCTTTCTCTAGTTCGAACCAGAGCAGTGGGCCACCTGAGGTATGTAAAAAAAAGAATAATACTGTGATAATTTTGAATTTTCACTTAATTGCATCAAGTTGGAACCAACTCCTAGGTGATTCTTAGTGGTTTTTAAGAAGCTATAAATCATGTAGGAGGTAATTGCCTATCTTTTCTTCTGGCACAACTGGTGGATTTGAACCACTTGTCTTTCAGTTCATAGGACAATTTCTTACTAGGCCACTTTGCTACCTATTTTATTAACTGCTTTTGAGTTTAAATATCTAAGTAGTTTTCTTGTTTCTTTAAATGAACATTATTATGACAGCTATCAGTACTTTCTATTAGAATGTAACCATACCATATTCTTTGCATGATTAACCATTTTAATTGCTGCTGAAATGTTTTGGCCCTATACTATTACCCTCTGATATCATGTATCTCTCATTTCCATTGCTTCTATAAACAATAAATCACCATCTCTTCTCTTAGGAAATTGATTTAATGGTTTTCACTTTTTTACTCTTCAGTAACATGTGGAGATACTATTTATCATAAAATGTTAATTTATCTGTCCTTTATCTGCTGAAAACTTTAATGTCAAAAGTTAAGGGAGGGGAACTCTGGTGGCCTAGTGGCAAGAAGCTGCAACTACAATCCCAGAGGTGCACGGTTCGAATCCACCAGATGCTCTGCCGGGGAAGGAGGGGCAATCTCCTCCTGTACCAGTCAGATCTGATTTGACGGTACACGCACACAAAAATAATGAAATAAAATAAAAAAAATAAAAAAAAAAGTTAAGGGAGTAAAATCTCTTTGGAGTAAATATTTCACTTCATGATGTTGCCACTTTTTCTCTCCCCAGCCTTTTCAACTTCAGTGTTAAAGGATAAAGGAGACATTTGTTCTCCCAGGATTAAGAATTGTCAGAACAAACAATAATCTATTTTTATCATTCATTGTGATGTATTTATGTGTTAGAGATTTATGGGAATAATATCTTCTTATTACTAAGCAGCTGTTTAGTTTTATAGAAATCTTCATTTCATGACTTGGTAGCAAAACTAAAGGGAGCATTTATTGTTTTACTTGGTGGTTATAAAAAGAAATTTAGCTTTCATAACGCCATTAAGTCAAGATCCCTCTGGAGCTTAAGCCAGTGATAGATTCCATTAGACTGATAACTTTTATGTAAGGGTAAGCAAAGACTTAATGTCCCAAAGATTGTTTCAAGACTTTAGCATTATCAAATATGATTTATTTTGGCATATTTATTTGAATCTTAGGCATGTAATTGGAGACTTTTATTAAAAGAAGCTCCTTTATCACTGTAAGATTGATAGCTGTGTGTAGTTTATATAAATAAAAGCTGTTGGGGAAAAAAAATGACAGTTAAATACCCCTCTGTGTACTGCTCCAAAGTCACTTTATTTACTCTGCCTAGATTCAGAGTTCCCAATAGCCTGTGGATAGACATAGCTGTGTACTGGTTGTGATCTCTGTCATGATGCAGAAAAGTTCGCCAGGCATGTAATTTCTCGTACAGTTTAAGATACTGTTGTCTTCTTGTAGGTAGCCTTACATTTAGACAGTGTAGAGGGGGGAAAAGGGAGATCTGGTGGCCTAGTGGAAAGAAACTAGACTGCAATCCTGAAGTCAAGCAGTTCAAATCCACCAGCTGCTCCACAGGAGAAGGATAGGTAGTCTCCTCCCATACAATTAATTACCCACCAGAGGGTCAGCTATGGGTCGGTTCCGACTCAGTGGTACTCAGCAATAGCAACAATATGGGGATGGGGGAAGGAATTTAGCCCATCTCTACTCTCTACCTTCTGTAATATCCTTAAGGGATTCTACTGGATATAAAAGGGAGAAAAGATTATAGTAATACAATGATTGCTATGAAACTAGAGTGTAGGTCACTTCTCTCCCACCTCCCCCCCCCAACATAAGTTTTAACCATCATTTTCTTAATAAAGAATTTACATGAGAATTCAGACTAAGTCTTTCTAGTGGTTTAATAATAGTTTATGATAAAACCATATGTCTATATCGATGTATCTATATCACCACCCACTGTTGCACGAGAGCTTCCTTACTAAAATACATTTTATGTAATACATGAAATCATACTTAAAATAGAGACTTTGTTGTAAATTATCTCAGATATTTTAAAAAGAAAATCTTATGACTCTTAGGGAAGCTCTGGTGGCCTCCTGGATAAGGAGTTGTGCTGCCAACCAGAGGCACAAAGTTCAAACCCACCATTTGTTTTGTGGGAAACAGATGGGCAATCTCCTGTGTGATTTATTGCTTCTGAAAATTCACCAGAGGTCAACTGTGAGCTGGTTCTGACTCAACACCATGTAACAATCACCTAGCTATTGTAAAAGGTTGTTTTTTTTTAAAATGGACATTGCTCATGAAATAGCTCGCTACATGTGTCCGTTTAATCATTTTTATTACTATTTACGGGAGGGTTGAGTACCTTTTGTAGGCAGACCTTAAGAATTTGAAGGCAGGAAACTGAACTGTACTGACTTTGTACTAAATTTTTTCATAAGAATACTTTGTACTAAATACTTGTGCTAAATTACTTTGGCCTTTTAATTAGTACATTGTTTAACTTGGGCTTATTATTATTACTTGGTTTATTGTTGCACTTATTAACAAAGTGGCTCTTCTGTGTTTATTAAGACTAACTTTTATTGCCATAGGTTTACAGAATTATTAGAATATGTTTTTTAAAAAAGAAAATTAAAAATGTTTAAGTAAGTATTGTTTACTCATACTGAAGTGTGTTGATTGTTTCTTTCCTAAAGGGATGTGCGTCGCTTAGTGGTCGCCATGTCACGAGCCAGACTTGGACTTTATATCTTTGCCAGAGTGTCCCTCTTCCAAAACTGCTTTGAACTAACTCCAGCTTTCAGCCAGCTCACAGCTCGCCCACTGCAGTTACATATCATTCCAACAGAGCCTTTCCCAACCACGAGAAAGGTAGGATTTCTTTCTCGGTGGTATTGTAGTGCAATGTTTATAAGAATGAGAAATTGAGATTATCTCAAATAATCTGATCACTGGTTTAAAGTTCTTCTTAGGTTTTTTATATTTTTTTGTTTAAAAGCAATAGTTTTACCTAGCAATAGAATACTTAGCATCCATTAAACAGTTTGTACTTTTGTTGTTGTTGTTTTTGTTGTTTACCATCAAATAGGATCCAGCCTAGCACAAGAGGAGATTGCTGCTCTTTCTGCAGCAGAATTTATGGTGGATTTAACAGTGTGCGTTTGGGATTGCAGCACAACTTCTTTCCACTAGGCCACCAGGGCTCCCTTAGTTTGTACTTTATGTACATTATTCTATTTCATCTCAAAACCAGCTCAAGAAAGTTTTCCTTATATCTCTACTTTACATACCAGAAAACTAAGGGTGAAAGAAGTGAAATAGTTTGGGCAGAAGTCTAGGAAGTGAAAGAGCCAGTTTTTCTAAAAGCCAAGCAGTTTTACTTCAGAGTCCAGGTTAACTCTCCATGGCTGTGTAAGAACTTAACTAACTACTCGATGAATCCTGTAGGAAAAACACAAGTCATGGAGTCTGCTTAAAGTAAAAACAGTGACTTTTATGATGAGTAATACGAGTAAATAAATAACAATTTGAGAACTGGGAAAATAGAGAGTATGCTCCTAGCATGGTGCTCTGCTGTCTTTAACCAATTAGAGGGTTTTATACCTGGAGAAACAAAGGAAAGATAACAAGTTTATACCTGGAGAAACAAAGGAAAGATAACAAGTTAATGATTGTAGATAAATCACCTTTAGTTTGAAGTTCTTTGAAATGTAAAGTCTGGCCATCTGGTTTGACACTTGTCCATATTGCACTTGTAGTTAGTCAGCTGTTCATGATAGCTTGTACACGGGTGGTATGATGTTTAAGCATTTGACTGTTAATGGAAAGATTGACAGCTTGAACCTACCAGCTACTTCATGGGAAGAAGTTTTGACAGTCTACTTCCTTAAAGATTTATGGTGTTGGAAACTCTCTGGAAAAGTTCTACTCTGTCTTATAGGTCCTCTAAATCAGAGTCAGCAGTGGGCTTGGATTTTTTTTTTTTTTTTTTATTTTTCCAGGAGCAACAGACTGTTCACTTGGTCTCAAATGGTTTACATCCTGACCAGTTGGTTAGGTGTGAACACATTCTTCTCAAAAATAATTGTTTACTGATAAACTCTTCCTAAATTATATGTTCCATTCTGACTTTGGTTTCCAGGAAATACATGTTGGACCCATCATTCTTTTTATTAATGGTGGCTAAACTTCCATCATTCTTTTCTAAAATTACTGATCTGTTGTTTTTTAGCAAAACACAGTGGACACTTATAAGAATGGCAGGCTACAATTTTAAAGCAGAACTTAAGCAAAAATTAAAATGGAGGCTGATTTAGCATAAGAGCAAGCTCTTTCTTATTAATGGGTTGTCTCAATTACTATTTTAGACACTCTTAGTCAGCCTATAAGAACTTTATAAACCAACTACCATGGTAGAAAAGCCCACATCGTCCTTAAAATGAGATTGAGAATTTATTCAGGAGCAAGGGGCGAAGTGCTTTCAAATATAAGGAGACACCAGTCTATATAAATCAAAACTTTTTAACGAAATAACTTCTAATAAAGATAGTTATAATCCAGTAAACAAAGAAATTGTAATACATTTGTTTGATTGGCTAGTGTTTGGTTGTAGTCACAAAGAGTTAGGGTCACGTATTGGGTTTTGATTCGATAGTTGAGTATAGAGTCTTCCAGTGATTGAGTTCAGCAACTAATTGCAGATTTTTTCCATTAAAATCACATTCTCTTCAGGTTGGGATCATAGAACATCACTTGTACATCACACCAACAGCTTTCATTAAATAGCTGGGAAATTACTTAAAAAAAAAAAAAATGGGAAATTGTCAATATAATTTTGGTACCAGGACTGCATTTCTCCCTTGTTAAGCAAAAACCAATTAGTAATCTAATAAATTTAGTAAGACCAACATCAAGACCCTTTGCAAGTATTTTTTTTAATTGTGTCCTTGTCATTAAGAAATACATCTTAAAAAAAAAATAACTACATCTTGGATCAATTTTATCCAAAAGATAGTTGTGTCCAGATTTTCTTCCTTAAAATGTATCCTGACTTTGTCAGAGAAATTACTTCTCAATTTCCAGATAACATGAACTTATAAAAGATTCAGGTTAACTTTGTTGTATGTAGCAAAGCAAATACCAAGTGCTAGGCAGACATACAAATAAAAAGATCAGTTTAATTCAGCAAACACCAAGTTTAATTCGTTCTATCAAAAGGCTTTATGAAATTTTCCTTTACACTCCTTAGTTTATAAACTAAAATTAAACTACTTAGTTTCTAAAACTCCCTCTTCCCCTCCTCCCAAGATCCTTTCTCACCCCTGCCTACTGTAATAACCAGTCTATACAGTTTCTAGTTTACCTTTATTATACTCTTTTTGCCAAAAAGATGTACAAACAAACCTGTGTATTCTTTCTTATGTGTTGGGTAGAATTTTCTCCACTTTGCATTTTTTTTTTAATTTTTTATTATTATTATTCTTTTCCATGAACATCTACAGAGATTTTGGAATTCCATTCATTCATTCATTGTTGCACTTTTCTCCCTACCCACCCCCCACCCCCACCAACAGTTCGCTCCTCTCCTTGAAAAGCAAAAGACAAACTCCTTCATTGGTACATAATCCCCTCCACCACCCCGCACATCCCCAACCCCCCCCCAAGGTATACTCCACTCTGCAACCCTCATTCCGGACTCTTACGATAATCATAATGCCCTAAAATATATTAATTTTAAACTATTCTCTCCCTTATCGGCTTCATTGGCATTTTTCATTTAATACTGTGTCCTTAAATGTTCATGTTGTAGTTCTTCGTCTTACCAATTTAAAAATATTTGATATTGTATAATACTAAATACATCATTTTTAGTATTTTCTCTTTCACCATGACCCCCCCCCCCTTAAGAAATGCTGCTATGGGAAGAATAGAAAAAAAGGGTCAGAAGATCATGATGAATGAGATCATATAAAACCTTGGGTGTTGGTACACATTTCTAGCTCTGGAGACTGATTATTAAAAGGGGCAGATTCTTATACAAGTGCCACAGAGATATATCTGGAGTGTATTTGTGTTATACCAGTGAACAAAAAGTTTAGCTGCAAGTGTGTTCCTCTAACCTTGCATAAGAATTTGCTGGAGTGTGTTAAACATGACGACCTGGGAGCTGCTCCTGAGATGCAGTACTGGCCCCTCTGCTCTTCCAGCCTGCACACTGCCCTGTCTCTAGTAAAGGAAGGGGAAGTGTTCTCAGCTCTCTTAGCGTCTGAGATACTTCACTCAGTACTTTTCTTTTTGCTTTCTTTTAGAATGGAGAAAGACCGCCTCATGAAGTCCAGATAATAAAGAACATGCCTCAGATGGCAAATTTTGTGTACAATATGTACATGCATTTAATACAAACAACACATCATTATCATCAGGTGAGCTTTTGATAAATTATTTTCTTTTTCTTAGTGTAGGGAGATCTGTTTTATAAAATAAATATTCATGTAAAATTCATATTCATTAAGTATGTTCATGTACATATATGTGGCAAGCAATAAATTCTACATATTTAAAGTATTCTTTCTAAATTTTATCATGCAATAAGTGAAAATTTGCAGAACAAATTCATTTCCTATTCAATAATTTATACACATTTTGTTTCATGACATTACTTAAAATCCCACCAATGTAACTCTTCTGTTTTCTCTTTCCATTTGCCCTTCTTTCCTGTCCCCTGATGCCTTCTGAACTTGGTTTTTGTGGAGGCCTACCCTTTTAATCTCTTATGATTGATTGTTATAAAAGATCGTTCTTCATAGTTACTAGTCTTCGCTTTATAAGCCTGACTGTTGTTTGAAATATAATCTCTGGGAATGGTTTGAAAGTTTTATCTAAGGGCCATAGACTCAAGGATTCTACTAGTCTCTATAATTAGGAAGTCTGGTCATTTTTTATCACTGATATTTACCATTATATGGATATATCACAATTTGTTTAGCGTTCATATGTTGAAGGACATTTGAGTTGTTTCAAGTTTGACTGTTATTCAAGTAAAGCTACAATGAGTGTTCTTTATTAAATCTTTTATTATTTCTGCTTTCATTTCTCTTGAGTAAATACTTAACTGTGAAATTACTAGATAATATGATAGGTGGTGTTATATACCAGCGAGTTGGAACTGACTCAAAGACAATCCTCCAGTGGGTTTTCAGAGACTGTAAATCACATGGAATTTAACTTCCCACCTTTGTTCCATGGAGAAGCTGGCAGATTTGAACTGCATGGCTTTCGGTTGACAGTGCAATTTCTTACCACTAGACCACCAGAGCTCCCTGGATAATATGGTAAGTCTGGATAGAGCACCGAAAAGCCAAAGCAAAGAGAAGAAATCAAGAAGTTAAGGAGCTGACTAGATGATTTCAAAGGTCCACTCGGAAGACAAGGCAAAATATCATAATAAAATGTGCAAGGAGCGAGAGTCGGAAAACCAAAAGGGCTGAACTCGCTCAGCATTTCTTAAGCTGCAAGAACTGAAGAATAAGTTCAGGCTACGAGTTGCAATGCTTAATGATGCTATGGACAGAATATTGAATGATTCAGGAAGCATTAAAAGAAGATGGAAGGAGTATACAGAGTCATTGTACCAAAAATAATTGGCTGACACAGAAGAATTCAGGAAACAACATATGATGAAGAAGCAATGGCGATAAAGGAGGAAGTTTAGCTTCTCTGAAGAACTTGGCAATAAATAAATCCCCAGGAATTGATGGATTACCAATTGACGTATTTCAGCAAGCAGATGCTGTCCTGGATGTGCTCACCAAGTTGTGCCAAGAAATCTGGAGGACAACTACTTGGCCAACTGACTGGAAGAGATCCATATTTATTCCCGTTCCAAAATAAAAGTGTGGAAATTATTGTACAATATCACGAATATCACACACTAGCAAAATCCTGCTGAAGATTATCCAGAAAAGATATGAACAGTACATTGACAGAGAACAACCAGAAATACAAGCTGGGTTTAGAAGAGGTCGTGGCACTTGGAACATTATTGCCAATGTCAAATGGATCTTGGCAGTGAGCAGAGAGTGCCAGAAGAATGTATTGGAAGTCTTAGCGATAGCAGTAAGGCAAGAGAAGGAAATAAGAGGTATCCAAATTGGCAAAGAGGAGGTAAAATTATCTCCATATGCAGATGAGATGATCGTATACTTAGAAAATCCTAAAGACTCAGAAAACAAACAAACAAAAAAACCCCCACTACTGGACATAGTTGACCAATTCAATAAAGTGGCAGGATTCAAGATCAGCATATAAAAGTCAGTTGGATTTCTCTAAAGTGACAAAGAGAATACAGAACTGGAGCTAAGAAAAACAGTACCCTTCACAATAGCTAATCACAAGATTAAATACTTACTGGGAATACATTTCACCAGAAGCACAAAGGATCTATACAAAGAAAATTATAAAACTTTACTACAAGAAACAAACAAACAAAGACCTGGAGACATGGAAGAATATCCCTTGCTCATGGATAGGAAGACTCAGTAATGTGAAAAGGACAGTACTACCAAAAACAGTTTACACATTCAATGCAATCCCAATACAAATACAAATTCCATTCTTCAAGAGATGAAAAAAGCAATCCCCAATTTCATTTGGGATGAAAAGAGCCCCTCAATAAGCAAAGTACTCTTTAAAAAGAGAAAAAAGGTAAGAGAAATCTCACTCCCTGATTTCAAATCCTACTACACTTCTATGGTGGTCAAGACAGCATGGTACTGGTACAATGACAGACACATAGATCAATGGAATAGAATTAAGAATCCAGAAATGAGCCCGTCTACCTATGGTCAACTGATTTTTGACAAGGAGATGAAGTCAGTTAAGTGAGGAAACGACAGCCTTTTTAACAAATGGTGTTGGCAAAATTGGAAAACTATCTGTTGAAAATTCAAGCAAGATCCACACCTCACTCCATATACAAAAACCAACTCAAAGTGGATCATGGACCTAGGACTAAAACCAAAACTATTAACTTCTTAAGCTCAAGGAACTGAAGAACAAATTTAAACCTAGAGTTGCTTTAATCAATTAGGCAGAATATTAAATGATCCAGGAGGTAGTAAAAGAAGATGGAAGGAATATACTGAGTCATTGTATCAAAAGGAATTGGCAGATACAGAAGAATTCAATGAAATAACATTTGAGCAAGAGCCTATGGTGATGAAGGAAGAAGTTCAAGCTGCTTTGAAGAGAATAGCAAAAAAATAAAGCCCCAGGAATAGATGGTATACCAATTGAAGTATTTCAGCTGACAGATGCTGCCCTGGATGTGCTTACCAACTTGTGCCAAGAAATCTGGAGAACAACCACCTGGCCAACTGACTGGAAGAGATCTATATTTGTTCCCATTCCAAAGGAGGGTGACCCAATTGAGTGTGGAAACTACAGAACAATATCATTGATTTCACATGCAAACAAGATTCTACTGAAGATTATCCAAAAACGACTGGAACAGTAGAAGTCCAGGCTGGGTTTAGAAGGGGTCGTGGT